ACCTGGATCTGGGCAATGAGACCTGTTGGAGGGTCCAGACAAGCTAACCGGTGCCATAACATGGAGGCCACCAGATTGTTTAAAATTAGGACCCTCCCTCTAAAAGATATTTGTGGGTGAAGCCACCTCCACTTAGCCAGTTTGTTATCTACTGTTTCTAAAATGTTTTCCCAGTTTTTTTTTCCAATGTCGCTGTTCCCAAGATAAATACCGAGATACTTTAAGCCTTCTCTTCTCCATATCAGGCTTTGAGGGAGAACAGGGAGAACAGGGAGAGCCCTCCCGCCATTCACCAACAGCAAGAGCCTCGCTCTTCCTCCAGTTCACCCTCGCAGCCGACACTACAGAAAACTTCTCGATTACAGAATTTAAAACACACACATCCTGTTGATCTTTGATAAAAACAACGACATCGTCAGCATAAGCAGATAAAACAACACTACTGTTAAAACCAGGTAAAAACAGGCCTCTAACAGATGATCTTATCTTTTGTAGGAGGGGTTCCAGGGAGAGTGCATAGAGCATCCCAGACAGGGCACAGCCCTGTCGGACGCCTCTATGCACTCTAAAAGGAGCACACAAGCCACCATTAAACTTTAGCACACTCTCAATGTCACTGTACAACACCTTGATCTTGGCTATGAGACCAGCGCTGAACCCAAACCTCTCCATGACCTTCCAAAGGAAGTCGTGTTCAACGCGGTCAAAAGCCTTTTCTTGATCTAATGAGATCAATCCAGTGTTTATGCCTAATGAACTGGAGACCTCCAAAACATCCCGAATGAGGTAGATATTATCTACCATAGACCTGCCGGGCACACAGTACGTCTGGTCCCGGTGGAGAATCTGCTCCATGGTTCCTTTCAGCCTATTGGCCAGGACTTTGGACAGTATTTTGTAGTCAGTGCAGAGGAGAGAGACAGGACGCCAGTTTCTGATTTCTTGCAAATTGCCTTTCTTGGGCAAGAGGGTAATTACGGCTCTCCGACATGAGAGTGGCATTGACCCAGACACCAGGCTCTCATTAAAAACATCTATGAGGTCATGGGCCAAGATGTCCCAGAAGGCTTTGTAGAACTCTACAGTGAGGCCGTCGATGCCTGGAGCCTTTCGTCCCTGCATGCTCTGCAGTGCCGCGTAGAGCTCTTGTGGAGTCAGTGGGCTGTCGAGCTGCTGGTTAGCCTCTCTAGACACCTGAGGAAGTCCACCACAGACCTCCTCCATCAGTTCTTCGTTCTCCTTGAACTCACTCTCAAACAATGAGGCGTAAAACTCCACAGCTCTTTGCCTTATCAGGCCTGGCTCTGTCAGCTCTTGCCCTGTCTCAGAGAGCAGAGAGTGAATTTGTCTCCTCTGCCCTTGTTTCTTCTCAAGCCCAAAGAAGAAACTCGATGGAGCATCCATCTCCGTGATGTTTTGAACCCGGGACCGGACCAGCGCACCCTGTACTTTAGTGTCCAGCAGGTTGGCTAAAGCCATCTTTTTAGTCTTGAGGATTTCAATATATCCTCGATTTCCTGTGGACTCACTTGTACACTCGAGATCCACAATATCAGTCTCCAGATCTCTGATAGATCTGGTGATGTCGCGTGTGACATTGAGCGTGTGCTGCTGACATAAAAGTTTAATTTGAACCTTTCCATGGTCCCACCACTGCCTCAGACTGACAAACTCGGTTTTTTTCTGTTTAAAATCATTCCAAAAATAACTTAAAGCCTCCTTGAAAGATTTATCAACAGTTAAAACAGAGTTAAAATGCCAATAGGCGCTTTTGGGTAAAATGTTTCTGATAAAAACATTACATAAAACCAAAGAATGATCAGTAAAACCAACTGGTAAAATCTTACACATTTTAACAACACTGACTCTGTGCTTAAAAACATAAAAACGATCAAGTCTGGCCAAAGAGATTCTGTTTTCTCTAACGTGGGACCATGTGTACTGTCTGCAGCCTGTGTGCATCCTTCTCCACACGTCCACCAGGCCATGGGAGGAGACCAGCTGCCTCAAGGCATGCTGGGATACTGGATGAGGCTCTGCATGGTTGCGATCTAAAATCTCATTTTCAGTACAATTAAAATCCCCACCCACAAATAAATAATCCTCCGGGCCACAGCTGTTTAAAATATCATTCATATTTTCAAAGAAGTGTTTCCTCTCTGCACCGTTGTTTGGAGCATAAATGTTGATAAAAACCACATTAAAATGTTCAAAACGAGCTCTGACTAAAAGACACCTCCCCTCCACAACATGCCTGACCTCCAGAGAGGTTGGAGTAAAACCTCTGGAGAACAGGAAGCCCACTCCTCCACTGAGGGTGGTGTTATGGCTTAAAATCAGTTCTCCTTCCCATTCTCTGCTCCAGTCTGCCTCGTTTCCAACATCACTGTGAGTTTCTTGTAGAAACAGAACATCAATATGTTTCATTTTAGCCATTTCAAACACTACTGCTCTCTTTCTTATTTCTCTGGCACCATTGACATTCAGACTGCCCACTTTAAAAACATTCATAATGATGGAGATGTTAAGAACAAGACTAAAAACAATCAATGAAATAAATAAGAATAAAATCCCTACATTCACCATCATTAAAAACTGAGTTGTTTTCTGACTTTAATAATCAGTTTTTTCAGTCTGAATATTTCTTGGTCAGTCAGCTCTGACTCTGCTCTGTGTTTCACAGTATACCTGGCTGAGTTATAGAAACCCTGCATATCAGGGAAGTACTGCTCTAACACTGGCTTCCTCATCCCTTTGGTCTGTTGTAAAAAAGACTTCAGTACATTGGCAGTATACACCTGAGCAGCAGCCTGCTGAGTGTGAGACAGGTCACTGCTGTCAGACACACACCCTTCACTGTCACTGCTGTCAGATAGAGCTGCTCTGTTCTCTGCAGCACTCGGTTTACCGGCCAGACGTCCGGCTTTACCACCCACCTCCACGGTCAACATGCTTCTCCTCTTACTGCGCTGTTTAAGAGGAGCAGACCCCCACCCAGACTCACAGGCCTCCATCTCTTCAGCCTCAGCTACTGTGCTCCCCTCACTCAGCTCACCTGCTAATTTACCTGTCTCACACGACTCACCTACAGCCTCACCTGCCTCTCTCGCCTTACCTGCTTCACACTGTTTACCAACGACCTCAAATCCTTCACACAACTCACCTGTTCTTTTACCTGCCTCACCCAACTCACCTACAACCTCACCTACCTCACCCAACTCACCTACAACCTCACCTACCTCACCCAACTCACCTACAACCTCACCTGCCTCACCCAACTCACCTACAACCTCACCTGCCTCTTTCACCCCACCTGGTTCACCTACCTCTTCTAGTTCACCTGTTACTTTACCTGCCTCACCCACTTCACCAGGAACCTCACCTGCCTCTCCACCGACACCTGTTTCACCCACATCCTCGACCAATTCACCTGCATCTTTATCTAAAATACCACCTGTCACCCCCACCTTACCTGTCACCTCACCCGTTTCCCCTCCCACCTCCTCCCTCTCACTACTCACCTCAGTGCTCCCTCCAGCCTGGCTCTGCATCTCTTC